CCACCATTATCTATCGGAAACCAATAATGTCTTTCTGCTATATTCCTGACTGAGGGTTTGCGTGATAACCTCGATATAGAACCTGAAAAGAGGGCTCTGGCTGTTCGGTGTAATATGTAATATATTGTTATAGTCGCCTCTTACGAAACTCATGAGACGAAATGGGGTGATTAATTATTTTACACCGCATATTAGGCAACGACGATCAAGCCTGTCGTGTCATAATGAAAACCCATCAACCTATTTCTAATATACTCTAATATTAAATCCCACTTTGGGAGCTGTTCGAAAACATCCTTGTTTTATGGTGCAAGGTATTTTTCGTATTTCAGCTTTTTTATTAAAAATAGGCTCACTCTTGACCTCTCTCTGGCCCGAGGTTAAAGATAAGGTCTACGATGGAGCGAGTTTACCCAGGAGAAGACTTTAAGACTTTTTTCTTTGAAGAGGTTAACAGACGCCGGCAAGGTATTCCATTCCTTGGCTGTGCGCATTATGAAAGATTACTTAAAGCGCTTAGTGCGAATATTCGGAATATCAACCAAGTGTGGATGGTAACCTGCAGTACGTCTGGTACTCCGATGGGAGAATGGAGATGGTGATATGAGCTTATGAAGCTCGTGGGCACACTCTCCGAAGTCCTCCAGTCTGTAGAAGACCGACCAACAAGAAACTTGGCGGCGGTGAGTTAAGCTGTGAAGCTTAGTTTCCACCCATAAACCTCTTGGCTCTCTGTTGCACTGTGTCGAGTGCAACAGGTTGATAATTTGCTGAGCCATCCCAAAGGTGACTGCAATACTCCATGAATGTTCGGAATTGAGCTTTGTATATAGTTAGAAGCTGTCCAGGCGTGAAGTATGGCTTCACCCCGTTAAAGATTCCCAGTTTTTTGGACGTAGTTTGTGCTTTCGACTGAATCTCAGCGCCAACGTTGAGGTTAGTACTCAACTGTGTGCCGAGAAGCTCGAGATGATCAGTAACCTCTACAGAGTACCTCGGAAAGCAGGAGCCAGATCAAATGTACTCAGTTTTGCGGAGAACAGATCGGCCTCCATTTTGGCGGTGTTGTAATTGACCAGATTGTCATCACCCCATTGGGAGACAAGACTTAAGGTGGCATTTATCCACTCCACTATGGCCTCTCTGAGTGAACAAACGTATTACTGCCCCTCCGTTTTTTGCACTGATCATGAATCTCTCTGTGACTGTGCTGTCATCTGCATACCCAACAGTACCTGATAATCTGTGAAGTAGATCATTGATGTGCAGCAGGAAAAGAGTCGTAGAGAGACCAGACCCCTGAGGAACTCCAGCATTAATATGCATTAGGTCAGAAGAGCAGCGATATACGACTACCCTGATCAACCGTTCACTCAAAAAGTCAAATAACCAGTTGCAAAGTTCGGCGGGGATTCCGTAAGCAAGAAGCTTACTCAGCAGACTTGCGTGCCCAACCCTGTCTAAAGCCTTCAAAATATCGAGTGAAACTGCTAGAGCTTCACCGTTCTTCTCGATGGCCTCACCCCAGAAGTGCGTACCATACACAAGAAGATCTCCAGTGGACCGTCCCCGGTGGAAGCCATATTGATGGTTACTAAGGAGGACACATACCCTTGGGCAAATTGTACAGAAGTCCGAAGAGTACAATTTGCTACTATGTCTGGCATATGTGGATTATGAGAAAGCCTTTGATTACGTCAAAATTGGCGGTGCTGCAGTCGCTTCAGCGGTGCCAAGTGGACTGTTGGAGTGCTGAAGTGTTTATACAGTACGATGGCTATCCGAGTACAGAACCAGAGTACGAAACCTATCCAACTGCAGAGAGGTGTAAGACAGGGTGACGTTATATGCCTAAAACTCTTCACCCACTGCATTAGAAGATGTTTTCAAGCTACCGGACTGGAAAGGATACGGTATTAACATCAATGGCGAGTACATCACTCACCTTCGATTTGCTGATGATATAGTTTTTACGGCAGAATCACTGGAAGACATAAGCACTATGCTCAATGACCTCAATAGTGCCTCCCAACGGATAGGTCTTAAGATGAACATGGATAAAACAAAGATCATGTTTAATGTTCATGTCACACCTATGCCGGTAGTTGTTGGAAGCACTAAGCTCGAAGTTGTTGACAAGTATATTTACCTGGGACAAATAATCTGACTAGGCAAATCCAACTTTGACCGAGAGGTCAATCGGCGGTTTCAACGCAGCTGGGTAGCGTTCAGGAAATTACGGCACCTCTTCTCGTCTGGTATACCTCAAAACTTGAAAACAAGACTGTACAACCAGTGCGTGTTGCCAGTTATGACCTATGGGACTGAGACGTGGTCCTTCACTACTGGCCGTATGAGGAAGCTCAAGGTCGCTCAGTGAACTATGGAGAGGGCTATGCTCGGGGTTTCTTTGCGTGATAAACTTAGAAATGAGGATATCCGCAGTAGAACCAGACTGACCAACATAGCCCAACGGATTAGTAAGCTGAAGTGGCAATGGGCCGGCCATATAGCTCGTAGAACCTACAACCGATGGGGAAATAAGTTTCTCGAGTGGCGGCCTCGTACCAGCGGACGAAGTGTAGGGCGTCCCCCCACTAGATGGAGTGACGACCAAGTAAGACATGCAGGAAGTCGATGGATGCAGGTAGCCCAGGACCGTGCTTTGTGGCATTCCTTGGGTGAGGCATATGTTCAGCAGTGGACTTGTGAAAGGCTGTAAAGACGATGATGATGATGGTGAGGAGGTCACTTGTTTCAAGGTATGTCAGCAGCTTACTTTTCAATACCCTTTCTATAACTTCACAGAGTATGGAGGTGATGGCGATTGGTCGAATGGTCGATAATTACAGAGATCGGTACGACTACTTTTCTTGGGTACTGGTTGCACATTGGCAAACTTTCCGAGGCGGTACAGGCGCGTCAGACAGGAGATAACTCAAGGGCACAATGCTTTAGTACACTTGCAGGAATACTATCAGGTCCACCGATCTTGTTCACGTCTTGGTTTTACAAAGTTCTACGTACCTCTTTCTATAGATAGTGACCTTCGGCATCGAATAATCACAGCGAGGTAGGTTGTTGGCGGAGGCGGTTGTTTAGAAGCAGCATCTAGACTAGAATTGCTCGCAAACAGAGATGCAAATAATTTTTTTACCAACCTTACTTACTACCAGGAGGGTAGAAAGCAAGTCTGGCCCCTATACGACTGTCATGGTCAAATCGTGCCCTGCGGAGTACCCGCTTGCAGGGTTTGGCAGCAGAATTATAAGCTTTCTTCTTCGCACTAACCCTCCGAGCCCTAACTTTGCGATCATAAGTTAGAACTCAGGCCCGGTAGGCGGACTCTTTGCGGGCCTCAGCACGAGCACAGTCCGTATTATACCAGGGCCGAGCCTTGTGACCGAGCGAGAAGTCTGAGAACGAAATAAAATATTCCATTCCCTACCGTATCACATTCGACTGTACAATCAGTGCGTGTTGCCAGTGATGACCTATGGGACTGATACGTGGTTCTTCACTGCTGGCCGTATGAGGAATCCTAAGGTCGCTCAGTGAACTATGGAGAAGACTATCTCTACACCGGTGTCCACCAATAGCCACATTGCAGAAAACCCTGAAACCTCAAAGCAATGGAGACGCTGACAGCAAATGTTATAGCGGACGTACACACAGATCCCAGCGCGCTGTTTAAACTTATGTTCAAGCGTGTAACCTGGGTAGTTGAGGTACGGACGGAGTTGCTAGCTGCGTCTCCGTTATGACGAATAGGTGCGGCTTCTCTATCTCGAGGTGGTGGTAGACTTAATCGAAATTATTATACAACCCTTTGATGTACGTGAGGTGTACTATTAGCGGGAGGAACACAGTCGAAGGCCTTGGATAGGTCACAAAATATACCCAAAGCATCCTCTAAATTCTCCCATACACAAAAAAATATGTTTAATAAGCAGAACTCTAGCGTCAGTTGTCAAGATACTCACAACGCTCGATGCCCGATTCATGTTTGACGGCCGACGACATTGTGCCGCTAAAATGATAATAAGTTTGTTATTACTTTATAGTTTTCAGGGACAGATGAAAGAATATAAACACGAAGCGTAATGAAGCCTCATAAACATATTGGCCTTTAAACAGAGCAATCTTATTTAACTGATTCCTACAAGTTTTCTTACTTAAATTATTAATTTTACATTCATATTCAAGTCGAATGTTAAAATAAACTTCTATAATGTATTTAATTATTAATTATTAAATGCATTCATCAATAAATTTTATAAAATATAAATAGGTATATACTTAGTTAAGTATCTACCTATTTATATTAACAATATATTAAAAAAGAAATTCCGTAGAAACTGTCTATGGCAGTAAATATTTTTTAGATTTTATACATTTATAGTCTTGGCGTTATAATATGGTGCGGGTGACACTCAGAATAATAACAGCTGATAACAGCTTACACTTTTGGCGTATCTAGAGATGAACAATGTTAAATCGATTTAAAAAAGGCGATTAACGACACACAAAACAAAGCAAAAATTATCGATATAAAAATTAAAACTAAATAAATTTTAATTTTAAAAAATTACACCATAATGATATATTTATTTTTTATTTATATTCGGAATTATTCATAATTTTAAAGATTTTAGAGGAGATTCAAGATTTAGTTGATATTGATTTCGCAGGTTCGCAGTGTTTGCAAGTTTCCAATATTCGATTATGGGTTTATTGACATCGATGTTTCGATGTTTGATATGTGGCAACATCGATGTTAAAACATCGATGTTATTATTTTTGACATCGGTGTTCATCGATCATCCCTAATGTACAGATATGTCATTCTTATGTCAAGTTTTTCCTTTTCACTTTGTTTTCAACTGGAGACATCAAAGAACATTACATTCATTTAAATTTGCACACATTGCATCACCGTTATTTGGTTTGTTATTTTATGGTTGCCTGAAATCTTCCAAAGAAGTTTTTAAAAGATAAAAATGGTTTCAAAGAAGAAAAAGAAGGTATGTACGCATAACCTAATAACACGTGTTTACTCATAGGTAAATAGTACTTGTGTTTGCATTGCAGTAACTACACTGAATAAACACTATATGAAATTATCTAAAATTGCAGTAACATTATTAAATAATTTGTATTTAATTAAAATGTGCTGTTTCAGTATTCGTCGGGAGAAGGAGCGCAGTTTATGACGAGGAAAGCTGCACTTAAGAAATTACAGCTTTCATTAAAAGATTTCCGACGTATTTGTATTCTTAAAGGCATATATCCGAGAGAGCCAAGAAATCGAAAAAGAGCTCAAAAAGGCGCTGGTGGTATCAAAACTCTATACCATACAAAAGATATAAAGTTCTTGTTACATGAACCAATCATATGGAAACTCCGAGACTTGAAGGTATGTAAAAACTTTATTAGTCTGGAAGTAATTGCATTATAATGGATAAAAAAATATTTTATCAGTTTGTGAAACAATTATCTATTTTATAATTTTTTAAATTTAATAAATATTTTAAACTATACCATGTTGATGTAATTTTTACTCATAGTGTTGCTGAAATACGTCTCAATTTCATAAAACAACTGCTTCAGGATTTAAATTTTTATATATAATACTTTTTTACTTTTAATTCATGTGTTGTTACGCCTGAGGACTAAGATAGAATGCCTCACAACTTGCATTACCTTTACTGGCTCTCTATAGCCTTGAGACTAAAACATAACAATGTAAGCAATGCTATTTAGTTAACTTAAGTAAGAGGGTTGTACTTAAGCAGATGGGCATCTAGGAATAAAAGGAAGATAGTGTCCTACTACTTAGAAAACTATTGAGTATATCAGAATCAACTGAGTAGTGGCCGTGTAAGAATACTCACTACCCCATATTGTCCTGTGGGTTGTTGTAACAGGTGACAGAAGCAAACTAAAACAGGCGTTAGGCAGCATCATCTTTCTGATAACAGCTGAATAAAAATAAAAAACAAAACAACTATGACAAAATCTCCCTTATGATGCAATCTATGCTGAAGGCCTATATTGAGTAGTATACTTTTATAGGCTGTAATAGATAGATAGATATACAGAATTATCTATTAAATAAATAGTTACAATATTACTGAAAACATTCCTATACTTTTAGGTTTATCAACAAAAGATTCGAAGAGCTCGAGCTACAAGAGAATTTGGACGAATGAGAAAATATTTACGAGATTATCCGTCTATTAACATTGATCACATAGTTAAGGAAAGATATCCAACATTTGTAGATGCCTTAAGAGATCTTGATGATTGCCTTACCTTGTGTTTTCTCTTTAGTACCTTCCCATCGCTTAAGAAGGTTCCCAGGAATCAGTCTATGCTCTGCAGAAGACTAACAGTAGAATTCATGCATGCAGTAATTGCAGCAAAAGCTTTGCGTAAAGTATTTGTCTCAATCAAAGGATACTACTACCAAGCTGAATTTGAAGGACAAACCATAACATGGATTGTTCCACATCATTTCTCATTCCAGGTGAATTATATTTAAAACTCTTATTATATCTTTTTTATAGAATATGGGTAACAAATGGCCACACAGTCCACCTGATGGTAAGTGAATGCTATGGTCCCTAGACATCTACATTTATCCCCCACTTGAAGCAAAATGCAGATGTGTTGTCTCACTTGAGGACTAAGATGGAATGCCTCGTTTCCAGTAAAAAAGGTCTCCGATTCTGTACTCATAAATTGTAAAAATATTGTTTGAATGAAATATTAGTAGACAACTGTTGACATGAGTCCCACATTTGGAATTTTGAAAGCTCTATTGCATACATTTGTTGTTCTATGCTCTCCACATGTTATTTTGACATTACTGTTTTTGTTGTCTTTTTTTAATGCAATTAAGGGTAACATAGCAGATTTCTTTTTGAATCCGAGACTTCACCCAATAGTAAGTGAATGCTGTGACCCATACACACTTATCTTAAGTACTCACTAAACAAATTATTATGCTATTTCAACATTATGGTATTATGTGCGAGCATGGTCCGTGGTAAGACCTAGGCCAAGACTGACAACCGATGGAGAAGTAAGGTTCTCGGCAGCAGCCTCATATTCATAAACTAAGCATATATTTAAGTGACAAACTGTTAATTGATGTAGGAAGTGGATGGATTCGCGCATTCCTTGAGGAGGGTCTTTGTTCATCAGTAGACTTGTAATGGTAATGATGATGATGAAAACCTCTCCACAGTAAAGAAGAAGCTACTAGTATGACTGTAACATTATTTTAAAGATAAAAACTGCCTTACAAAAGCCTATCCTATTGTAAGAATTTGTCATAGTTGTTGTGCTGAAATGCAGATTGGCAGTTCCCGGTATTAATTAATGTTGATTGTATGTATGAAATAAGTCAAATAATTAAAAGTTTTTGACTTATTATTTTACACTAAGTCAGACACTGAAATTTTTGTGATTATTATTACCAGTCCTGCAAACTTTTTTTTTTTCAATTATTTTATTTTCTTGATAATAAATTTCAGCCTCAAAACAAGGATGAAGTGGACTTTAAAATTATGTCAACATTTGTTGAATTTTACACAATGATGCTTGGATTTGTAAACTACAAGTTATTCCATTCCATGAATCTGGTTTACCCACCTCAGTTAACAGCAGGATTCTCACCAGATAGTGAAAAGGATCTTATAGATGAACATGCATATGTTGCAGAGAGAATTGCTGCTCTAAATATTTCTTTAGCAAAAGTTGCTGGGGCTAATGAAGTAGAAGAATTGCCAGAAATTGATATATTCCAATCAGAAGATGGTGATCCACAGAAATTAGAGGAAGCAAAGCAAGAAGCTGAAAAGGTTAAAAAATTGAAGACAATGTTCAAAGGTCTTAAATTCTTCATAAATAGGGAAGTTCCAAGAGAGCCCCTTGTTTTTATAATAAGGTGCTTTGGTGGTGAAGTTTCATGGGATCGTGATCACTTTGTAGGGGCGACCTTTGATGAAAGTGATGAGTCCATAGCTTACCAGATTGTAGATAGACCCAGTATGGATAAGCAATATCTTTCACGATATTATGTTCAGCCTCAATGGGTTTTTGACAGTATAAATGCAAGAACACTGCTTCCAATTAACAAGTATCTAATGGGGGCTGTTCTTCCACCTCACTTATCACCATTTGTTGACAAAATAAAGGACCAGGTATACATACCTCCTGAAGAAAGAGCTTTAAAAGACCCAGACTTCAAACCACTTGGTAATTTCATTAAATGTTATTATTAATTTCATAAAATATTATTATATTGTACATATAAAGTTACAGCCTTAATATGTCCCACTGCAGATCACAAACCGCTTCACTTTTCTGAGAAGATTTTAATGTATACTTAACATGTGTTCTTTTTAATTTCTCATACTTGTAGGTTTTCTTAAGATATTTTTCTTTACCATCGAGCATGTGGTAAACCAACATTTTAAATAATTGCAATCTGCAATTTCATTGGTGCTGATGGGAATTGTACTCAATTGCTTGCATACTATGAAATTTTAGGGCAAGTGCTTATCCCCTGAAATATCACAGCTCTTTTATAATGCATGATATTTTTTATCTTTTCTTTTTTATTATAAAAATTTAAATTATTTATTATTGTTATATTCTTTGCATGTATTATTTTCATATTTTGTTAATCTAATAATGGAATGATTAAACACAAAATATATGTCAAGAATATTTGATTAGGTATTGCACAGTTTTTTTTACGTGGTAGAGCCATGCTGCAGCTATATTAGTAGTATAGTTGTAGCACGAATGGGTCGGCTCGACCCTTTTTACTGGAAAAGAGGCATTCTTATTCCTCACGGGTGACAACGCATCTGCATTTTGTTCATAATTGAGGATAGATGTAGATGTCTATGGGTCATAACAACCACTTACCATCAGGTGGACTGTGTGCTCGTTTGTCACCCTATCCTATATCATCAACGTTAAGTATTAAAAAAATCATTATGTTTAATTTCTAAATGATTTCCTTTATGACTAATTGTACCATGAATGTATGATTGTTGAGAAACACAAGCACACAATTCACCTAATAGTAAGTGGATGCTACGACCAAACACCTACATCTATCCTGATTAAAAATCAAAATACTGATGCATTGTCACCCTAGAGAACTAAGATTAAATACGTCTTTATTGATATAAAGGGTCTCATGTTCTCCTCACTCACCATATAGAACCAAGGCATATGCTAGTATTTCATGACTGTGCTGACCCATATAACCTGCCAGCACAGACCATGTGACCAGTCATATAACCTGCAGCATAAGTCTTTCACATATAGAATTAAAATGTATGTGATAACATTATAGCTATATAATGATGTCGTTAGAATATTCCCTATCCCATATCATCCTATGGCCTATGGGTATCAAGAGGCGACAAAGGGAAACTCGTGACATTTGAAAATTATAAAAAAACTGCAGTTGCTAAGCCCCTTAGGAAGTATGGCTACTATGACAAAATCCCCCTATGAGGTGATCTATGGCTGGCATATATACATCAGTGGACTTTGAGACAAGTCACCAGAAAAGTAGCTATGTGTATTCCTTATTTATTGATTGATATCTTATATTCAAGAAATGTTTTATTTTACTTAGATGATGAGCCATCTGGAAGCGATATTGAGGAAGCTAGTGATGAAGATGCAGATGAAAAGAATGAACAGGAATCTGAAGAAGATGGCGATACAGCTCTAGCACGACAGTATCAGCAAGAAATTGCAGAAGACTCTCCCTCGGATGATGAAGATGGAGAAGACAATTTGGATCCAGAGAAAAAGAAATTGGCTAAAGAAAAGGTAAGGCTACAATTTCAAATATAGTGACTTAATAAATTCAAAATTTTAGATAAAACTGTTTACTTTAGATTATCTCTACAGTTGACCCACGGTAATCTGACAAACGTTTTGCAATGCGGTCTCGGATTATTGAGTACTACCACAACCCCCTGGTATCCAGAATTTTATGAAAATGCGTACCTTGTAATCCGACAAATTACATAAGTATCAATTATAAAATAATAAAGTCATGTGATGCACAATGAATACCTAAACCAGTAAATAATGAATGCCCACTAGGCCTCTACCAGTCACATTTAAACTAAGACAATACGTGTCAAGCTATATTCGTGGTGCCGAGAACTAATTGCAGCCTGTTTGTCCACCTATTCGCGAAGGACACCTCAACCTTGGTGGATTCATAATGCGACTTGATTGTAACTACATGTTAAGGGCATGACGGATTGATTACGAGGGCGGTGAAAAAGCAACCAGATTAACGTGATTCCAATGTTGTGTATGTATGTGACCTAAAAATGTAGTAAATACGGAATATTATATTATAATCTAAGTAGTTGTTAAGTCTTTATAAATATACTAGTGATCCGCCCCGGCTTCGCACGGGTCATTTCTGAATCTCGATAACAGTGGCATCTACCGGATCAAATTTTTTATTTATATATTTATTCAAAGGACATCAGCAGTGCACACATTATTACATTTTTATTGAAAGTGGGCTTAATCTGGGGACTGATGTGTGCACCCTTAGAAATAATATACCTCTTAAAAAATAACAAAAGAAATAATTTAGAATTAGTCATTTATTTTTAAAGTCGCCTGACAATGGCGGCGTAAGAGAATCCACTACCGCACATCATCCCGTGGGTGTTGTAAGAGGTGACAGGAGGGAAATGAGAGGGATTGATGTCTATGGGTCACCATAGTACCGACTTACCATCTGCCTATTTGCCATCCATATTCTATAAAAAAAAAGTAAATCAACATTATTATATTTTCAAACACAAAAGTGTACCTCGTTTCATTTTTAACCATATTTTATACTAGCAACACATGTTTGACTGTGTATAATGATAATTATAAAAAAAATCTTTAAAATTACAGAAAAAATCAATGGCTGTTGTGAGTGGCGTGCCGTACAAAGAAAATCCATATCAAAAACAAATAGAAGACAAACAAGCATTTAGATTAAGGGAAAAACTTGTACGAAAGAAACACAGAAATCTATATAAGAGTATGAAAGCTGGTCAAGAAAAGAGGAAAAAAGAGATTTGGCTGCTCAGAAAGAAGAGGCGTCTTCACGACGAGAAAGTCAAAGAAGAAAAGAAAGCAGAGAAACGTAAACAGAAAATGCAAGCATTTGAAGCTGCGACAGCTTAATTTGCATGTATAATACAATATTTATAGTGCCAATAAAATAAATATTATTGCTGTGAATCTAATTTTATTTTCAGGAAACCATTAGTAAACAAAAGGTGACCTTGTCAGAATTTTGATTTCATAGGTTTATAGAGTAGATTGTTCAGAAAGTAATTTCGATTTTTCACAGCCAAATACATACTGTTTGGTTTAACACTATTAAATATTTTGACAGCTTTTATATCAGGCATCACTGGCCTCTGTATGGACTGGCTACACTGTGACATGATGAAGGATTTTGGAGCTGACAGCAGAAGTGAACGCCCACGGAACTACTATAATAGAGATAAGATGTGACAAAATATATCGATAAAAGTTCTATACATACCCGTAACGTCCATGATATTTACGTATCATATTAATATAATTCAATACAGCCTTAGACACAAATTTTATATCTTGTATAAAACCAATATCGACATTGCGTTGGTCTATATACATTTTTATTCGTTACAACAGTACAGATTTTGTTCCGGGTTTCAACATTGGGTATGTTAATTCATTTGCGAGGCTTAAATATTCAATTCTTACTCTAAAATATTCAACTGGAATATGTAACTAACCTAAAAAAATAAAAAAAAATTGTCAACCGTTCATTCAGTTCTAGCATTCTAGAAGAACATATCAGCTGCTAAAATAACGCCTATTCTAATTATCTACAGGTCTGTCTACAGACAATATAATATCTAATATATAACAATTAACGTTTGTTTGTTCGTATTTTATGAGCTGCCATACCGTTCATCAGATTGCGGTAAAACTTTGTCAACACATTGCTTGCACTTGCGCGAAGGTTATATGCATAGTACAATTAACTACGTGGCGCGTGTATCGTACTGACTATTTATTTGAAAGTTATAAACTTGTTAAACATTATAACTTACAAATTTTAAACGATATTTCCACTTCTTATATAGTTCTACTTCCCGAGAATACCATATTATTATTACACGGTTATTTAACCGTGTATTAAGGGTGTATTCAATCAAATACCATTTAACTAATCCTCGAATAATTTTACTCTTTGGTCTTACTTTAATATAACTTCGTTTACATTTTCCAACACAAACGTAGAGTAGCAAATACTGGGTATTGTTTATCTAGAATTGGTGAATGAATAAACATATAAACCAACTTAAACCGAAATACAATTGTAAAGCGCAAAACAAAATTTAATTCCACATAATTTGCCGGGTAGTGTCAACAGTAAAGTTTTGTTGAATGTTATGATAATTATAAATAAATAAAAAGTCCCAAGAAAGAAGGAACATCCAGTACCGTCTTTACCATAACAAGGGCACACGGGGCTCGTGCCCAAATCGTCACGGGCCCCGTATCGTCACGGGGGCCCCGAAAGGCCGATATATTCGCTTACACTATACATTCTCTTTTAGGAAAATATAACCCGACAAAAATTTATAGAGTAAATGAGGGCGTTTTAGTCACTTTCTGGTAACCATGAGCAGTGAAAAGTCACAAATTGTCGAGTATGAGAGAAAACGTGGTATTGACAGATTTCCAAAGTAGAAAATATGTATTTCCATGTTTTGCCACCATCTAGAAGCGTTTTTGTCGAGCTGCACAATCGCCTACTTTAGCCAGGATTTTTTTTTAATTTTCGGCAATCTATGTATTTATATAATTACAGCTAAATAAATGTGTAATTTAATCTTTTTCTAAATAGTGAACATTTTAATAAATATTTTGATAGAAGAACAAGAATGTTCCTTTGCTTAATGGTTACAAACATGCAATGGAGAGCGATCATTTTCACACCTAAAGAGAATAAATAATTATAAATTAAAAATTTTGTACAACCGACTTCAATATAAATTATTAAGAATAACTCAAAAACGGTTTGTCAGACCTTGATCAAATTTTTATGGGACCACATGAGAAGAGTCACCTTCCAAATAAAAAAATAATCATAGAAATCGGTTCACACAGAAAAAAGTTATGAGGTAACACACAAAAAAAAAAACAGTCGAATTGACTGTATGTTTACCTCCTACTTTTTGAAGTTGGTAGAAAATAGAAAATTTTGCACTACCGAAATCCCGAAAGAAACCACTGTCGTAATGGTAACCAATTCAAACCACCACATACTTATCTAATTAATGACATATTATTTGATTTTTACCCATTAACTATAATAAATGTAAGATCAGCTGAAAATGTTTTTGTCATTCATTTTTTTTTCTTTACAACGGGGCCCTAAATACTTGTGTGCCCAAGGGCCCTGGTATGGCCTAAGACGGCGTTGGAAACACCTACTCATCCTCTATCCCATATCATCCCGTGGGCGTCGTAAGAGGCGACAGAGGGAAACTGAAACAGGAGATGGGCAGCAGCGTCTTCCTAATAACGTCTAAAAATAAAAAACTGCGGTTGTTAAGCGTGGCAACTATGGCAAATATCCCTCATATTTTTTATACAAAGGTACTATGTGCCTCATATGAGGCAATATATGGGGGAGGCCTATGTTGAACAGTTGACTTGTATAGGCTGTAATGGGATGAAATATTATTATTATATATTATTGACGAGGCCAAATAATTTGACGAGACGAAAACTTCCGTACTTTATCGCCACTAATACCTATACAGGGAATAAGTTTTTTTGATGCATACAGACTGATTTCTATATATTTGATGATAATATGTTTTACGAGAACATAAAAGTGGCTGGTAAAATTACTTTAAACCAGTGTCCTTAAAATGGTCTTGTAGATCAGGAAACAATATTTCCGTTATAAGATCTTTTAGGTCCGTATTAATAAACGTTACTCAAGTGCGTAATCATTTGATACGCCCTCATTACGATATCAGTATCTCAAGATCGGTGCTAATTAATGAAAACAGTATCTCAAAACACTACTTAGGAATACTGTTCTGTGACTTGTACTCAAGTACACACACTTGAGAGTGGAGTTTCGTTTATTAATCAGTGTGGCACTCAGCTGATATCGTAAACCTAAACCGCATCTTGAGATATGTTTATTAAGATCATAACCTCAATATTGTACTCAAGTGTGTGTACTTGAGCTAAGTAACGTATATTAATACGAGCCTTAGTACCTTTGCAGTTTATACTGCAGAAAAAATCGGTTCTATTGAAGGTTTATATTCAGTAGCATTATATTATTTCAATTTATGAATGACTTCCCATTTTAGTTTATTTAGAAATAAGTAGGTGGGGCTAATATTAGATGAAATAATGAAAGCCAAAACTATACTATCTAGTAATATCAGCAATAGAAGCGAACATTTATTTATTATATCAATAAGGAATAAAGGGGTGTCAATTCTCTTAAAATTTCTGTTAAAAAATACGCTATCAGCGCCGCTAGCGGTGAAAAACGATTTAATGATATCGTCATATGCCCATATAATGAAATAGCAACGTTGTGTTTAGTTATTAATATCTTCAAACGATTTCTATTAATTGATTTAGTCAAGCTATAGTACCAACAAATAGTATTAAATATCATGAAATGACTACACCATTTCACGAAATGATAGACTACTTTATGATATATGATCAATTCTACGATCTGGCCACGACATACATAAAATCTCTTTAATAAAACTATAATGATAATGAAAATTTTGCAACAATTGCAGACAAACCAGTTTTAATCACTTTACTTTACATATAATATATTAGTAATTGAAATAAATACCTTATCAATTTTCATATTTTTGATATACGTCACCATTATCTATTGAAATTACACTTTTAAAATAAAATAACAAAAATACTAAAAAACTAAACGTTAGTTTTTTAATAATTTTAAAAATCTAATCTTTTAATCATATAAATGTAAGTTATTTATATTATTTCATTTATTAATAACTGAAAGCAAAATATACTACTTTTTCCATTTGATGATAGATGGCGCTGTTTTGAATACCAAATCGGTATAGTTTCAAATTATTTTACCAAGATTATAACTATATTTTAAACTTTATTTACAAATATGGTTTTCATTTGAAAAACACCTGTCATCCCACCTATAACTAAGATATAATAGCAAAATTAACATCTAAAGGAAATAGAATATATAACCTTCCTTTTTTGAAGTTCCGTAATCGGATAAAAAGTACCCTATAAGTTGCCCCGGGTTACTCACTACCTATATACAAAATTTCATGTAAATCGGTTCAGTAGTTTTTGCGTGAATCCGGAATACACAGACAGACAGAAAGACAGACAGACAGACAGACAAAAATTCTAAAAACCACTAATTTAGCTTCAAACCCCTTTATTTAGTCCCTTGGACTTGTTTTTTCAAGAATATATTAGAATAAAACACGACCTTTCTACAGATTTATTATATGATAGATTTTGTAAAAAGTAAACGACATATTATATGAATTTCTATTTATAAAAATGCATTATAAATTTTGCCATATTTGATACAGTCGCAGCTAAGATGTAGCGATTGATTGCAATTTTAAGTGCTGATTTAACACGTGCTTGGCGGTGAAGAAAAACATCGTGAGGGAACCTGCATGTCTGAGGAATAAGAAAAAAATATTTCGAAGATATGTGTAGTTCGCCAACACGCATTGGGGCAGCGCGGCGGACATTTCCTTGCCCTAAAACCCTCTCAGAAATGAGAGGAGGCCCGCGCCCAGCAGTGGGACGTATATGCTGTAATTTTAAGATACCGTCATGAGGTCACTGGTTAAGAGAACTAGCTAATGTACTGTGTACTAACTAGGTAATTTCTAAATGTCTCAAGTTATCATTACGATTGTTGAACTTTATTCCGAATGTTATTGAAAGCCGGCCACAGTCGAGCGAATGCAAGCTGTACTGCCATATGTCAGAGGTGTCACTGACAAGATTGGCTACATCTTGAAGCGTGCTTCCATTAAAACATATTTAAGATTAGTCAGTTTTTACCATCAGTGAAGTGTAATATTCCTCTGCAAGATGCAGGAGTGTACAAGCTGGATTGTGAATGTGGTCTCTCTTATATAGGACAAACTAAAAGATCCATAAAAACCCGCGTTAAAGAACACATAGCTGATGTGAAGAATAGACGCTCCGGGAAGTCTGCAGTCTGTGAACATGTACAGGATCGCCCCCGTCACTACATTAGATTTGATAGACCACAAACACCGATTCCTTCCAAGGATGATTCGCAAGGCTATTGAAATCAAAAAACATCCTAATTTCAATAGAGAAGATGGCTGGGTGCTACCATCTGCTTGGGATCCCATAATTAATAAAATTAAATCCCAACCCAAGCATACAACTGCAAGACTTCATGATACTGTAAGTTCATACTCCGTAGATCGGAACAAAAATTAATAATTTTTTATCTGGAGGTAACCGTGGTTAACTATGACATTGGGACGTCATACACCTCAGTCCCCCCCGTGACCATGGGTGCTGTAAAGTGCTTGAAACGTCGGGAATGTAAAATAAGTTAATATACGCGATAAAATCCCTAAAATTAGTTTTATTTAAATGTGTAGTGTTCGCGTAAATATAAGAAATCATTAACATATGCATAGTTAGGTGTACAATATGCCCAGAACCAGAACACAAAGTAATCTTCACAGAAGTATAGTATAGATTTTGTAGACAATACCTTCGGGTCTCTTCTTGCCAGTTTTAACCAAGTATTTCTCATATTTAAATCAGTTGGTTTCAAGTGTGTATCTATAACTTCCCCGGCGTTCTTATGCTCGTATTTTTGCATTCAAGCACAACACTTTTTGTGATATAGATGATAACTCATTATTAAACATCCAAAAGTATCTTATCCTTTTGCAAAATCGGCAAAATTCTAGGGCAGTGACGTCACGAGTTGAACATCACGGCGGCTACCGTTTTCACGCGAAAATTTAAAACGGTAGATTAAAATTACTTTTATTACACTATTCGGTTTTAAAAAAAAAGATATAAAAATTATAGTGGTATAAAAAGATAGTAAAATTATAGTATATATTATTATCACTCTAGGATTCATTTAAAACTTTTTGACAATGGGTGTAATACCCTATTTTGCAGTCCCAATATAAATGCATTCCCTTCATATAATAAATTGGTTATATTTAAACAGATTCGTCTTGTAAACACAAAGTCATCATTAGGCGATTTATTTTTAAACGGTAAAACCTTTACTACATATGAGGAGGTTAAAAACCACCTGGATCAGTTTTGTGCCAGCAAAGAACAAAAATTTTATGAACGTGGAATAATGCCACTGTCAGAAAGATGGCAAAAGTGGACAACATATAACTAAATAGAATATTTGTTCACTATAATAAAATCGCCATTAATTTTCATAACAAAAAAATTACTAAGTATATATAATATAAGTATGAAAAATGCAGCATACAACTTAATGCTTTATTCTTATAAAATAGTATTTACTATTTATATACATGAAATAAATTATTTAACTTACTTCTGGTAGAAGTCCAGCTCAAAAACAATATTAATAACAAGCCAAATTAGGATTTTTTTAGATTCATAGAATGGCAGCAAGTGCAAAACATTTAGAACTAATGAGCATAATATTATATTTTAATTGATAACATATAAACAATATTATAAGTTATAACACATATTTTTCAAACAATCAATCTGACTCTACGTCACTGTCTCCCTCCAAGTCGCTGTCTTCAAGCTCTGGCATCGGAAAACGTAATATCGCAGCTATACCAGTTAGCTGGTCCAATTCTGTAACAAAGTTATGACAGTTACTTCGACTTTGTACTCAATGAGAGATTGCAATCATTAACATTTGACTTGCAAATTACATAATCTTTAAACGAGCAATTCTTATATATATAATCGGAATCTCGGAAACGGTTTTCTAACGATTTTCATGAAATTTAGTATGCAGGGGGGTTTTCGGGGGCGATAAATCGATCTCGCTAGGATTCATTTTTAGAAAATGTCATTTTATCCGTGTTTTAGGGCAATGAAAAACTGCTACAATATCATTAGAATACGAAGGTAAATTTCGCCACTAATCTACAATAGCTCAGGTGGGAAATCGGGTGGACCAGAAACCAGAAAACTCCCGGTTCGAGTCCAGATGTCCGATTATTTATTCCCGACTTTTTTCAAGTTCCTCCTTTTGTGATAAAAACTACTATTGGGAGCCCTTTATCAACGCATCTAATTTGTATCTAAGTATATTTTTTTTAAAACTCGAAAAAAATGACCGAGCTTATTTTGACACCTCTCACATTGACACCTCTGAAGACTAAGATGGAATGCCTCTTAGTGTGCAATTATACTGTTTTTCTTTTTTACTATAGGAGGCTGCAACAGCTGTGCAAGCAAAGCTATTTGGAGGCAAAGTATATAGGACGGTGGTACCTACCTAGACAACAGAATAAGTAATAGTACTACGTACAGAAGTTGCACTCTTTTGATGTTGAATGCTTGCCGACGTTTTAATAGCCTACATAGTTATTATTAATAAGATAAATCGCGCACGCAAGCTAAATAAAACTTTATCGCTGCGAGCGAGTGGCCGTATTACGTTGCATCTTTTCTCCTTACTACGTCACAACGGAATTTCCTTGGTTGCTAAGGGCTGTTAATAAAAGGTAAAAAAATACATTGTGAAATGGTAAGTTACTTAGGTAAAGTACCTGTGCTGACTATAGTCACATAGTAGATAATATGGTCGATTATAATCGACCATATTATCTACTATGTGAGTTCTGTGATGCCCAACGCAAGCAACTTGCAAGGCCATTCGTCGGGAATCGCGGTGCTTGTTTCGTATAGGTAGATAGCGTAAATAACAAATAAACACGAAATACAATTCCTAACAGAAATATTATCCTAATCTACTTAGTTGAAAATCTTGTAAACAAAGTTTTAATTTCAATATTTTGTGCTATTATAACTTAAAATATTTAATTACAAAGACGACTATAGATATGTAAGTAGGTACTTGGGTAGTGAAGTAAATTTCAACTAAGTTTTGTAATAAAGTACTTAGGTATTACTTCTGAAGTTAAATTATTACTTAATTATTTTTTCGCTATAAGTACCTATCTAACAAAAAATGAAATAAATTTACCTTTCATTATCCTTCGGTAACTCAAAATATGATATATCTGAATCCTTTTAATTGCTCACTAAGCATCCATTTTTTAGTATCGTGGGGAAATCCTCATGGATACCTTCTGTTGCGGGGGCAACGGAAAGGTTATGCCGGACTCCTACCGGCCAAAACCCCACGGAGGTCTCCATCAGCGTATATGAGGAGTCCCGGGATCTCCGTTCGGAACGCAACCGGAGCCCCCCTCACGCTTTGCTCTGTTAAAGCACGTCCCGGGGGCAGTCCTTACTACCCCCAGCACCCTCGCAATGCTATCACGGTGCTCGAGACCACTTTCAAGTCACTGTCCTCCTCAGGTGTTACATCACTAGACGCTCGGGGTCCCCGCCCCGAGTGCCCGTAACCCCCGAGGCTCCGTTTCTGGTAGGGGAACACCATCATCAAGGGGAGGGCCCTGACGAACGCCTTGGCGGCGTCGTCTTCGAGCGGGGTCTGTCCTCTCCCGACACCGCTCAGCAGCCTCCTTCTGGATCATAACGGATTCACAGAAGGTGGCTACGGTCCTCCACGCGGAGTCCCTGCTCAGCATCGCCGACACGACTGCCGGCAGGGAGAGGTTGTGACCGATCCAGCTTACCAGGACCGTCCGTTCCCGTTCCCACGCTGGGCATGTTGCCAGCGTATGGGATGCGGAGTCCTGTTCCTGCCCACCGCAGTGGAAACAGTTCGCCGTCGCTTCCCGTCCAATCTTACACAAATAATCACCGAAGCACCCGTGCCCGGTCATAATCTGTGTAAGTCTGTAGGTGAGTCTTCCTGTTCTTCGATGCATCCAGGCTTCAAAGTGCGGCGGGATTGCTCCAACAACGCGTTTACACGCATAACGCTCTTCAGAGAGGCGAGCGCGCCACGTTTCGAATGCGTTAATTCGTTCCTGCCGCTTGACCCCTTCGAACACCTCATCTGGCTCACTCCCAACGCTCTGGCGGAGGACACGCGTCCAGTCGTACACCCTCGCATCCATGTCCGCCAGTATGTCCAGAGGTGGGAAGCGAGCCAGGAGTGTCGCCGCCTCAAAGGATACTGTGCGGTATCCTGACTCGATCCGTATGGCCATCCTCCGCTGCACCCTGTAAATTTTAGCTCTACAGCGTTGGATGGCCAGCCTTTTCGCCCAAACAGGCGCCCCGTACAAGGCTACGGACCGTATCACTCCTGCATAGAGGCGACGCACTTCTTCCCTTGGTCCCCCTAGATTGGGCTGCAGTCTATGCATAGCACCCGCTGCCCTTTCAATTCGGGGGACAAGGCGCCCGAAGTGTTCTTCGAAGCCCCATCGATTGTCCAGGTGGAGGCCTAGGTACTTCATGTACCACCCCACTTGGACTTCAGACCCACCTACGCGGACGCACGAGTCGGGTGGTTCCCAGCCGCGACGTAATTTATGGAACCATAGCGCCTCGGTTTTGTGAGGCGCTATTTCTAATCCCAACTCGTGGATTTTGGCGACGACGACTACCGCCCCAAGCTCGGCGAGCTCTTTGGCCCTCTCGAAGTTGGCCCCGCTGGCAACCACCAACGTGTCGTCGGCATAGCAAACGATATCTACGCCAGCGGGAAGTTCAACTCGCAGAACCGCGTCATAGGCGAGGTTCCACAGTAGCGGCCCCAGTCTGATCGTCTCACCCCATGGTCACGTGGGGTTGCTTTAAAGCACCCGAAACGTCGGGAATTAAAATTGTCAATTAAACGCGATAAAATCCGTAAAAAATAGTTTTATTCAATGTGTAGTGTTCGCGTAAATATAAGAAATCATTATGCCGATGCATTGTCAACCATGAAGACAGATGGAATGCCAGATTTCCAGCAAAAAGGATCGCCGGTTTTTTACACTCTACACAAGAAACAGCAAAAATAAGCTGCTATTTTAAACTCGTATTCTGTGCGAGTATGGTCCTCCCTGGTCAAGCCAACCCATTCATACTACAACCATTACATAATTCCAGCTTGACTCTACCACATAAAGAAGTCCTATAACCAAGTAAAATATTATATAACTGGTTTTAACTTTTAAGATATACTACAGAAATATGGATTTTACTTACGTTCACCAGATACATGCATACTTGAAAATATCCTGACGTCACAGCCGTTTTCCCTTGCCGAGTCTACGAGAGCTACATATTCCTTTCTTTTCGAAATGTCTTGACACCTGGGTGCATGATAAACTTAAAATTATACACAAAATTTAGATATATATTTTACATCTAGTATGATACTTTTACTTTTCGTCTGTCTCGCTTTACTCAGCAGTGAATTCACGACGCCGGTTCTTTTATCAGCCCGTAAAAGTCCAGTACTGGATAGTGGCCTCTCCTATTGTAAGAAGGATCTTCCATACCGTCCCGCGCGGCAGGTGGTACGACGATCTCAGTACCCGACGTCTCACACCTTAGATACTGTTATTAGTCGCCGTACTGGGTATTGACCGCGTGGCGTAACGTGATGTTATGCCACTATCCATCGAAACGGACGAAAGTGATATTCAATGAAATCGACTCGAATTAAAGATATTATATATATATGTATATAATATATATATATATATATATATATATATATATATATATATATATATATATATATATATATATATATATCACTATCATCATTACAGCTCTTTACAGGTTCGCTGCTGAACATAAGGTTTCCACAAAGAATAGCGCAAAACACTGTTCTGAGTCACTTGTATTGATCTACCGACTTCCTGCAAGTCGTCACTCCATCTAGTGAAAAGCAGCCCCACACTGCTTTCCCGTATGAGATTGCTACTCGAGAACCTTTTCCCCTTCTGTTATCAGTTATTCGAGCTATATGGCAGTCGCATTGCTACTTCAGCTGAGATAAGAACAGATAAATTCTGAGCATAACCCTCTCCCTACCTCAATATACTAATGTTAAACACTCACTGAACGCGGTGCAATAAAATGGGAAAAACAGGACGTTAATCATCAAGTTCAAGTCAAGTTATCAGGAGTGATTAACATTAGTTTAGGTGATTTCATAATACAGCCATGTCTCTGATCCAAAAACTCATTGCTGGCAACATGCACTCGATGTAGTCTTGATTCCAAGTTGTGAGGAATATTTTTTTTACATGCTGCTTTATGTATCCCCACTGTATAAACCCACCAGTTTAGGTTTTTTCCTTATATTTTATTAAATAGTACACTTTGACCCATCATATTGATATATTTTGTTATTTTAAAACAATTTTTAAACATTAAATATGTATTATAATAATCACCTAAATAATTTGTCAGAGATCATAAGTGTCTCAAGAGCAAGCGCCTCATTTGCCTTTTCAACATGTTTCTTGCCATAAAATGCCTTTGCTGGTTCCAACTGCAACATTGTATAAAAACTCTCTAGTAATTTCACTTCGCTAGCTGCTTTTGTATCAGATATCTTTGCCATTACAGATGGTTCTTGAAGTACCTCTGGAACATAAATAATTGTATAAGTATAAATTTAACTTCTTTAAAGAAATTATTTAATATTCCTGGTTCATGATAATATGAATTGTATCATCATGTTTCAATGGCCAGGTGTCATACTTTTTACTCGTTTTACAAAACGGGGGCAACAATTTGATTATATAAATGTTTCTTTTGAAGTTAGATTCAATAATGATAAGGATGACAAGAATTAAAATATATTCCCTAAAATATATAAATATGTTTTGCACATCTGATCATTTTCCTTAATTTAACTACACGGAAAATAATGGATTATGTATGTTATAAACATGAAATGGAACTTCTAAGTTTTTAGTTGACAACCCCATACACTAATCTTTATTCCAATTATTGTGTCTTTGTGGACACTAGTGGGTCTAAAAGGCAAAGAACAGAGAATGTTGAACTATAAATTATACACCCCATTAGGGCCCCATGTAAAAAATACATGTAGTATTTATCTTAACATTTTCAAGTCTTAAATCCATGCCATTAGGAACTATGACAATATGAATTAAGGAAAGCAACCACAACATTGCAAAATTGAATGAGCTGATTATAAAGTCAAAAATGGCATAATGATACTTGTATTTGCAGATATACAATAAAATATGAGGAATAAAACAGCAAATAGTAAAATAAAACAGTGTTTTGCAATATTTTTCCTCAGTAAGAAAATAACAGCATACATCTAGACATCTTCACTTCTGTTTCTTGGAGACGATGATGAAGACTATGTCAATCATGATGTGAAATAGTCTCTGAGAAAATGTCTGAGACATATATTGATAGACAGTCAATGAGGTTCAAAATCAAGAAAATTTTGATACAAAACACAAAAATCAATAATTATTAACATATTCTGAATTGTGAATGTAGTCTAGGATAATTTTTCAGTAAAATACTAATATAACCTTTTAAAGAATGTTTGAATCCAGATGACGCTTTTACCAATAAGAACTTTCCTTTGTTCTCAATAAGCAGTTTGTTGTCAGTCTTAATAGCCTGCTGCATCATGTAATCAAAAAACTGATCTTTAACAAATCCTGGAGATGCAAGTATTACACATTTAACAATGTTGAAATCAATATGCCGTAATATACCCTGCATAACAGCATCATAAAATTTGTTAAGACCCTGAAAATAAACAATGCAATTTAAATTTTTCTATTTTCTCAATTACATAAATATATATTACCAAAAAAATTTAATTTTATGTAAATTTTTTAATCTAGAAACTGTTGTTAGTGACTCAATCTGAATGTGTGGCAGTACTAGGCGGTTACTTTCACTGCTTTATTTTTGGAGAACAAACAATAGTACATTGAATATTACAAGGAATAGTTTGAGTAATAAAATGAATGGATGATGAATTTCTTGCATTTTATATATAGTACTATTTATTGTTTTTAAAGGATTACACGACCATAATCATGTCACAATACCATCAAGGTTTAGAGGGTTTTTATAAAATATTTTACATAATATGTCAAGGTTAAAAGCTGAAGTGCAGTTAAACCAAGATTTAGCCAGCTGCAACCAGATGCCACCAACAGTTGTTAGTCATATTTTATTTTATTTATTCATGGTTGAAACTATGTGTCTTAGGTGTTTTCTGGTAAAAGTAGGTATAGTAAAGAGCAATGGCAGAAAAATACATACATACATAAACACTCACGCCTGTCACCCAGAGGGGTAGGCAGAGATTATGGACTTCCATTTGGCATGATCCTGACACATCTCTCTCGATTCCTCCACATCCATATACCTACGCATACACGCTCGTCGGTTAAAGGTACTCTTGATTTGGCCCATTTTTAATATATCGCCAAATTGGTCGATAAACTTTCGCCTAGGACGACCCTTCCCGACTATGCCGTTCACCTCTGCAACATAAATTTGCTTTGTCACTCTTTCCTCATTCATTCTTTCTACATGGCCAAACCACCGAAGCATTCCTTTCTTAATCCTGGTCACAACATCATCTTGCAGACCACACTCTTCTCTTATTAAACAATTTCTCACGCTGTCATTCAGATTCATCCCTAACATACTCCTTAATGACCGCATTTCTACAGCATTTACTCTACTCTCGTGCTTCTTCTGCCACACCCAACTTTCACTAACATACATTAAAGTCGGTACTAACACAGCATTGTGAATTGCAATACGTGCCTTTTTGGACACATTCTGACTTTTCACAATAGAGTGTAGAGCCCCATTCACTCTATCTCCTGCATTCACTTGTCCTTCTATATCCTTATCATATCTACCATCCCTGCTAAACACACATCCCAAATATACAAACTCATCTACTTGCTCTACCAACTCCCCTTCTATTCTTATTTCACATATCGTTTTACTTTCTCTTTCAAAAACCATAACTTTCGTCTTACTTGCGTTCACTTTCATTAATGTAACCATCATTTGCAACTCGGCTGCCGACGATGCAAGTATGACTTGATCATTGGTGTACAAAGGCATTTGACGGTTAACTCACCCATTCTTAATCCGCATTCTTCTACTTTCAAATTTTCCAAACAACTGTCCATAAATAGGTTGAAAAACCACGGAGAAGCCACACAGCCCTGTCTGACACCTTTATGGATGCCAAACCAGTCCGAGTAGGCCCCGTTGACCCTGACACAAGCACTAGAGTCCCTATATAGAGACTTCAATGCCTGTATCAGACCAGCGGTCAACCCAAATGAGTTCAGTGTTTGCCATAACACATCCCTGTCCACTCTGTCATAAGCCTTCTCCAAGTCTATGAACGCACAAAAAACTTTTTGGTTTTTGGCCAATACCTTCTCCGCCGCGATCATGCAAAAATAGTTGACAAAATAGTTGACAAAAATTATAGCGTCTAGAAATAAGTTATAAATAAAATGAGTTTTATTATTATTCTATGATATTTCAAATAAAAATGTATTTTAATTACAGCCACAGAAAAAAAAAATATATTTTTGGGAATATCAAATGACTTAAATCATTTTACTCTATTCAAATGTTGCCATTTAGTATATTCATACTATTTTCGTATACATTTTGTGGGATTAAGTTATTATTAGTAATAACTGCATTATCAGTAATAACAAAAATAAAAGCGATATGGCTGAGAATAAGTCTCTTACAAAGAATTTCCTACAATAATACATTATCTCAATCATAGTACTATGTAACAATTCCATTTAATGTTATGCCAACACTAGCTAAAATAAAAAACTATTTTTTTTTACTGGCTTTACGGCTCTGGGTTCTAGCCCTTCTGAGAATGTCACTATGATACAAAAGCCCTGGAGACATGCCAGAAATATACATTTATAGTATGCAAATATATAATAGAGATACAATAATCTAAAAACTCTCAATTATGTATTATGTATTAAGCTAACACCAAACAACCACAGGAAGCATGACTTTTCCAAGTGACATAGGACATAACCTAAAAATATTCAAATGTAATTATCTTTTTATTGACGCCATCTCAGTACAAAATTCTTTGACAGAGTTATTAAGGGACTGATGTTTAACATTTTAAGATATTTTTGGTATATAAGACGCTACCATTTCTTCTCAACTAATTTCATGTATGAAAGTCTGCCATTGTTCTTTGAATAATAATCAAATTGGCCAGTTCAGTCAATTCTGTATTCTCTAAATTTTATATAATAAAATAGGCAAGCTAATTAGTTCAAATTCTATTATAGAGATAATATATTCTATTCTATATTAGCTCTAAATAAATTTACCATTTTGTGATTAAATATCTTTTTTATAAATTATAGATTTGAGTCCCTTCGAACATTAATGTATGTAGATAAGTTGATATTAAGACTTTCAGATATTAAGCTCAAAACAAAAAATGTCAAATTAAATGTTAATAAAGCAAACATAATCATATGAAGAATCTTTAAAATGCATATTTATAAAGATATGTATCTAACCAACTTACCTTTTCATGTTGTTGAACAAATCCTTTTCTTTTCCTTGGAATTGTAACATCAATTTTAGATCTAACTAATGTCATAGATGGTGTGATGAGGCAGACATGAGCTAAGCCTTCCTGCATAACAACAGCTGCTACATCAGCTGTAGCAGTAGGATCACATGCTGCTTCCACCCGATCTAAAGCAACTGAATCCCACAGAACTTTTTGTAAAATGAACTTTCTGTTTTGTTCTAAATCTAATGTATGATAGGCACCCATCTGAAAAGTAATCAAGTATATCAAATGATACCCAATTAAAATATAGCAGGTTGAGTAAAATGTCGTGCTAGTCGTTATTTTGTGCGGTTTTTAGGATGTAGCTACTTTTTATTTAAATGATATATATAAAAAACACATTATATTTCTACATAATCTTGATTCCATAAGAGTCATATCCAATATTTTTTTAAAGGAATAAATATAAAAATAATCTCTTTACAACGAAACCACATAAATGTGAAATCATTATTGATAATATGCATCTCCTCGTAAAGTAAGTATTATTTTATTTTGCTATTTACACCAATGGATAGGCAATTTATTAATGAACATTTCTATTATAATTTTTTTTTCAAAAGACAAAAATTTGATTTTATTAAGAAATTATTTTAAAAACTGGGCGTATTCACAGCCCACGGGCTTGCTGGAGTCAGTGAGCGCTGAGCTCTTGAAGGTGAAACCCGTGTCGTTTGTGACGGCGTCAGCCAGCGCACATGCTCGCTGACGTCATCTTATCAATCGATAATATTATTATTACTTATTAGCTTATTTATGGGTAGTATTATTTGTTTGTTTTGGGTATAATTTTTCGTATTAGTTATACCTATATTTGTTGTGGTTTTTACTGCGCGATGAAGCTTTTTGCGTGTATTGTCTTTGAAGTAAATGCAAATAAAAAAATGAAGCACCATTACCATGTATGGTTCGAATCCATAATTAACATTTCGACAAATATTATAATTTACACTATAAAAGGCTAATTCAATATTATCAGTATAGTATACAGTTAAAAATAATCCTAATACCCAACCACAATATCTTAATAGGTATAGTATTGCCTCGTTGGTCTAGTGATTGTAGTAGTGCGACTGCTGATCATGAGGTCCCGGGTTCGAGTCCCGGGTCGGGCCAAAAAGTCAGTTATGAGCTTTTATTTATGTTCTAAGTTATAATTAATATTACTAAGTTATAGTTTTTGCTAAAATATAGTATATAATTTTAAAACAGACGAATTGATCATAACTCCCTTAGCTATAAAATAAGTTATGATCTAATTAATGGTATTTACTCCAGTTTATGGTAGCCCTGATTTATATTACGTGGCTGAAATTAGGTACTTTTATTAGTAGTGTTGCCCAAAATCTGTCTTGGTCTTGCAGTCTTGGTCTTGTTCTTGCATTTTTGCAAGACCAAGACCAAGAACAAGACCGCCTATTTTTAGCAAGACCAAGACCAAGACTGACCGTGCAAGATTTGCGTAAGAACAAGACTAAGCTTGCGAGACTCTTGCGTCTTGCAGTTAGGACTGAGTATCGTTTCAGGGAGTATAAGAGTTCGGGTATACGCTTAGAGACTCTATGAGACGCAAAAAAATATAATAAAAAAATGGAAAATTGGACTTATGCGCATTACGAACAATACCATAAACATACATAGCGAATGAAAATATCCAGTAAAAGAAAAAAAGAGTGCATCCCTAGTTTTGACCAACGGCACTGTGATAGTGCGCGGCGTCTTGTTGTCGGCGTCATCAAAGGTCGGATACTAATCTGACAAAGAAATTGTGCAGCTATTCGAAATAACAAGTTCAAGATACTCGTGCCGGTGGCTACTATTGATATCGCATACAATCATCGCCGCCGCGCCGCACGCACTACATTTGACACTGTTTGATTGCAGCCACAGAATACATGTTCCAAACAATAAAATAAATTTCCGGGTGCTCAGAATGGACACGAATACATTATGCTGATCTGGCAAGGAATATTGTAATTAGATGTAAGGATGATGTAAGGAATGTAAGGATAGATAGATATCATAATAATTTAATCTAGAAAGTAATTATTATAATATTAACTATATGGGTTTATAATAATTACTTACTATTATTATTATTACCTAGTAGATAAACATGTTCAATAAATTCACTGCAAATCTCGACTTATGGAAGTGTGTGTTTTTAGAACACAAAGTGCTCGAATATTTGATAAATATTGTACACTTTTAAAACACTTGAAATGTGTAAAAATGGATCTGGATCTTGTCTTCAAGGGTTAATTATTAACGGGTTGAAGGAGTACCTAAGTAAACCCAGAGCCGCCAGCTCGGCGGAAGTAATAGGCTAATAGGTATTGCGAGACTTGCGAGACTCTTGCTGCACGACCAAGACCAAGACCAAGACTGTGAGCGCAATACCAAGACCAAGACCAATACCAGGTGTATTAGCGCAAGACCAAGCCCAAGACTTGCTAAGTCTCGTCTTGTTCTTGCATTTGGGCAACACTATTTATTAGGTACGTCAAACCAAATAACAGTCGGGCGGCTGACATTATGCACTCCATAAATTTCTAATATCTAATTACAGCCCCATTAATTTCCACTAAAAGAAAATAAATAACTTGTAAATTCAAACAAAAATAACTGCATTACTATATTTATAGTCATATTCATACAAATCAAAAAGCCTATATATGAGATTAATGTAAAGTAAGCATAATTTTACCGGGATTATAACTTGTCAAATAATTAGGAAAATTATCGTTTTTCGTTGCGTACGTGTTTTGATTTTTAATTTAACACTGTTAGGTTTAAAACTGCGAGGTAATATTTGAATAAATATACTTTCCTCTAGGTACAAAGAATTTTTAAAACGTTTTTTTAAAATTGAAATTGAAAGATTGAACTCTTATACTTCTAGTTGATTTTTGTATTACCTTTATTAAAGTTACCCTTATGTATAAATAAATATAATTATGTATGTAGAAATAAAATTGAATAAAAATAAAAACAAACATGTTTTTTTTCATCCTCATCAATCATTGGGGTGAGGATAAGGTCAGCCAGCATAAGTAATAAGCAGGCTAAGTTACAAGGTGCTCAGTTCAAAAATTAGTAGGTAGGTATGTTACTTTTCAATACGTGACACGTAAAAATTAACAATAATCAAAAAAACGTCTGCGAAACATCCTATTTATTTATTTATTCTTTATTGCACCAAATATTTGTACAAAAGGCGAGCTATCTATCTATTTACCTATAGTGAGTAGGTATCTTTTAAACTCACAATTTTCAATGCTTCATTTTTAATATATAATTAATTATAAAATTTCATAATTAGATAATATATGAGAATACATAATTCTAAAATAATACAACTAATATACCAAATAAAAAAATTAAAGTACATTTATCTTTGTACGCTGTGTGTATTTCCATAAAATAGTTTATTGATGTTGAAAAAATAATACTACGTTCGTACAGTAGGTGGCATCTTACATATTTCTTACGCGATATATTGTAGCGAGTTGGCGCGGCGGACCAAATACTCAAAGTCGTTCGCATGGAGTAGCCCCTTAAATAAAATGTTTATTGATAAATAGCAAAACAGTATCCTTCTCAACAGTAGTTACCACCTAAAAATCTTGCAGGATAGTCATAGGACTATTTAAGCAGTTAACAACTTCGCTGCCGAGCCCGCGCTGGCGCGGGATGCGGGGTATTGCGCGAGGGGCCGACCACGCGCTGGCGCGGGCTAGGCTCAGTACAGATTCTATGAGTCAGTGTGCCGCCGGCACTGCGTTTGGCGTGTTGTGTTTACGTTGGCACTGCGCGTGAATTTTTTACGATTCATTCAAAGTTAACGGTTTTTAAATCGAGCCACGTGTTTTTATTTTACAAGTGATTAAAATGGCGGAAGAGGCAGGCCCTTCGCGGCCTAAAAGAAATCGGTTTTCTACAAGCTATTTACGTGATTCAGACGTAGAAGATGAATTATTTGCCGATCTTGAATCGAGCGACGAATTTGACCCTGGAAGTGAGGAAGAGGACCAATCTTCAGAGGATGGCAACGACGAGCAGCTGCAATTTTCCCGCCTATCTGCCATAAATATAGAATCAAATTCACCAGTTCAGAAGGCCACGTTCCGCCCCACCACATTCGACGCCCGATACTTCAGAAAACCAACTCAATTTATCCCAAGAAGATATGTATTCGATCAGACCATCAGTTGAAAGCTCTATATCAGAGTGGACTGAGGTAGGCGAAATGAAAAACTTTACTTTTACGCGACTCAACGAATTTTACGCTAATCCTGGGATAAGACCTATTGATTATTTCGACTAATTCTTTAGTGAAATTTTCTTAAAATGATTTGTGATGAAACTAATAAACAAGCAGTCAAATTATCAGCTGGAGTGTCACAAAAATCTAGAATATCGGCATGGAAGGAACTAACTGTTTCCGAGTTTAAAGTTTTTTTGGGTCTACTCTTTCATATGGGCACTATTCAGCTTAGTCGTCTTCAGGATTACTGGAAAACAGGCAGGTTATTTTCCATACCAATTTTCGCTGAACAAATGGGTCGGAATAGATTTCTACTGATTATGAGATGTCTCCATTTCACGTCTGAAGCAGATAATGGCGACCCAGTGCTAAAAGTTCGCAGTGTCGTCGACTATTTCAATACGAAAATGAACGAATGTTATTACCCCGCGAAAGAATTATCTTTAGATGAGAGCATGATATTATGGAGAGGTCGACTAAAGTTCCGCCAATTTATAAAAAATAAACGTCACAAATATGGGATCAAATTATATATGCTCACTGAACCTGACGGTTTGGTTTTAAAATTCTGTGTGTACGCAGGCGGTCTTGACCACGAAGTTTCGGGTAAAGGTCACGCCGAGAAAGTAGTGATGCAGCTCATGAATGAAAAGCTTCATAATGGCCATGCACTATACATGGATAATTTCTATAACAGTTTGGGTTTAGCGAAAAAACTTCTCGATAATAATACGTACTGCACTGGAACATTACGCATTAATCTGAAACAAAATCCTCAAGAGGTCGTTCAAAAGAATCTGAAGAAAGGAGAAAACACATCTAGGTACTGCCAAGGAGTTCACATAGGAAAATGGAAGGATAAACGACCTGTTACCTACATTACTACAGAGTTTGAAGATAAAATGCTTCCAATAACTAATAAACGTGGACAAGTCGCTCAAAAACCCGAGGCAATAGCAAAATATAATGATTATATGTCTGGAGTCGACCGGCAAGATCAGTTGTTAGCATTTTATCCTTGTGAAAGGAAAACTTTGCGGTGGTACCTAAAGGTTGCTATTCACACATTCCAGCTGCTACTGATAAATTCATTCAAAATATATAATAAGTACTCAGGTCAACCTAAAATGACTTTATATGATTACCGCTTATCAGTGATAAGCACATTGCTACCAGATAAACATGTCAAAACAAATCCAGGACCTGTAAAAAGACAAGTTCCTATGCCGCACAAAATCAGTAAGATTACGGAAAGAAATGCAAAAGGAAAATTGAAACGTAAGCAGTGCCGCCAATGCACAAAAGAAAAAAAACGTACAGACACTATTTGGCATTACATTACTTGCATCGAAAAACCTGGATTATGTGTCGAATGTTTTGAAGTATAACCTGTCGGAAATATCTGCGAACCTCGCTGGGATGCGCTTCCCCTCGCGTTTCCCCGCACCTCCGCCCGTTATCGTCTATCCAGTACCGTTGCCAACGCAAGCGCCGACGCACGTGTATTAATCTCGCTTTCGTAATCGCATTATTGTTTATTGTTTCTCTGTTTGGTGAAATATTACTATTATTACAATAGACTACTTACAAGATGGGTAAGACTATACATAGTGCCGAGCGGAATTTAGTGCTCAAAGTAATTAAATTTTTTGATAATGAAAAACAACGAGGCTGTTTCAGTATCCCGGTTGAACAAGCAACAAAAAGGGCATGTGCAGCAACTGGTTTATCTAAATCGACCATAATGAAAATAAAAAGTGAAGCGAGTGAAGTGAATGTTCAGGAAGAGATGACGTCCTTCGAAGAAGACCCACAACCTAGTACGTCAGCTTCAGTTACCACGGACACTATTATGCTCTCGACACCAGGGAAGAAGCGTAAAAAATACAAAAAGAAAATTGATCTAGATAGTTTTGATTTATGCGCCATACGCTCTTTAGTTGAAAGTTTTTATACCATCAGAAAAGAAATACCTACATTAAAAAAGATTTTGAGAATAGCCAAGCAGGAGCTGAACTTTCCCGGCCAAAAAGACGCCTTAAGAAATATACTAATAAATTCTTTGGGGTACAGGTTTAAGAAATGTAAACGTAAACGCGATTTTTTGGTGCAAAGACCTGAAATAGCAGCCTGGAGAGCAAAATATTTAAGGCGATTGAAAGAAAATGACAAACGTGGTGCCGAAAAAAAACTAGTGACCTCCATCGACGAAACCTGGATACATTCACATTACACTGTCTCGAAATGTTGGCAAAATAGTAGTGATTCCAGTATTCGAACTAATCACTCTCCTGGTCAGCGCTGGATTGTGGTACACGCAGGCAATGAGAATGGTTTCGTACAAGGTGCCGAGCTCCTTTATAAATGTAATTCAACAACCAGTGATTACCATGACGAAATGGATGCATCAAATTTTACAAAATGGATCGAAGAGAAATTGATACCGAATCTTCCACCCAACGGTATCATTGTCATGGACAACGCACCGTACCACAGCAAGCAGGTGAATAAGCCGCCAAATTTCAGTGCACGTAAAAACGTAATGCAAATGTGGCTGCAAGAACACAACATCGAATTTGACGAGAAAATGACAAAAAGAGAACTGTATATGTTAATTAAAAGACATAAGCCCGAGAAGGTATATTTCATCGATGAAATATTTAGATCTCATGGACAAGAGGTATTACGTCTGCCACCCTACCATTGTGACCTTAACCCAATTGAGTATGTTTGGAATTTGATGAAGCAAACGGTGGCAGACAAAAATGTAGACCAATCAGAAAAAGATATAGAAAGACTAACAAAGGAAGCGATACAGAGTATAACCCCAGAAGATTGGAAAAGAGAATGCAACCATGTCGATCGCTTAAGAGACAAGTTTTGGCATGCTGATAGATTGTATGAACTTGAGGAACAGGAATTAGTAATTTCATTAGGTGGAGAAGATAGTGACAACGAAAGTGATGACAACATTTTCAGCGACAATGAAGAATTTGACAACAACGACAGCGAAACAATGTCTGGTGTTGAGGCTTTTTAAAAAATTAATAGACCACTTTTGAAAATGACAGTACTTAATTGTTTTAAATTAGAATTTTAATGTTAAATACCTGCTAATTAAATGGCTCGAAAATTATTTGATTTTAATTTATTATACTTACCCTAGAATAGAAACTAATAAAAAAAGCATTTCTAAGAACAAACTTTTATACTTAATATGGTTTCTTGCATTTACTTTTTCCGGTATAAAAGCGTTACATTGATATATACAAATAGTTTTATTTTTAATAGGAATGTATTTTTTATTTTAAATTAATTTTAAGGCGTTGTATAGAAGTATAAAAATAAATAGGCGCACAAAAAATATATTTCATTTTTGCATCTCGATTTTTTTTTGCTATCTCTCCATATTGCATGACGTCATCAAGCCAGGTTCGCAGATATTTCCGACAGGTTATATATCATTCTTCAATTTGAAAAATTGATAATTTGATATCGGTTGATTATATTTGATTTTATGCTAAAAATTGTATTTCAAGCAAAAATTGTTTATTATTATAGTAGTTTATCTTAATATTGTTACTTATAATTCTTGTGTCATTTTAGTTCCTTATAACTCATTATTGTATTGTGTATGTTCTATTAATACTAAATACTTAACCACGCTCTGGCGCGGGCTTGGCACTACGTATGGATTTTCCAACCGCAGTGCCGGGCCCGCACAGGTGCGGGATTTCTTTTTATTGTTTTATAAACGAAAATAATAATTACATGTTTTTAATTTTTTTTTAAACCTTTTAACTGATGTCTAAGAAGCTAAATAAAAACAAAAAGATTGGTCGGCATTTGGCACTCGACCCTTACAATTTGGCTGGCAGCGAAACTGTTAAAGAAAATGAAAATTGAAATTTTGAGTTAGGTGTAAGTTTATTGTTACAAATCTACATCACAATAAACATCTAACACAGTATTTATCACATCACTAGGGTTTTTAAGCCCATAGATAAACCCAGGCCTTTCCAAGAAGGTGCCAGCTGTTGCTTTTCAATGAATATTTTTGGTAGATTATGTACTTACCTTCACATATTGGTTTTCTTCTATGTTGCGTCCCTTTAGACGCAAAACACATGCTTGTGTGTCGAAATCTATGCTTTCGACTCTAATGGTAAGAGTAGTCCTTACTCTATTACTAGTGGAGGAGCCAGTAGATGACTCAGTTTGTACTTTTCGTACCGTCGAAGCAGTCACTGCATCACCCTCTGCGATTAAATTGTAGGCATGCCACATGTCCTCTGATTCCTCTGGTACGAGGCCGATACTCCTTTAAAATACCATTGTTAAATCCATAGTGGAACAATATAGAGATGATTGTTTCGTTTTGAATGTTACTTACCCACAGCCATCCTTCTCAATATTTTTATATATGAGCTTCATGTTACAAAAAGTATTACCAAAGCTTCAATATATTACCGCCATACTTAATAATCTGATTATAATTCAAATACATTTACTGTAAAACTATGATAAAGATTCACAATCTTTACTTTTCTCATTGTTAACATCAAACGTCAGTGTCAGTGTCACGTTGTAACTTCGCGTTGTTGTTTTTTCTCATATCTATGGTGTTTGTAATATAATGGTCTAACTAACTAGTACAATGTTCCCTATATATAATGTACTCTGTGGTATAATGGTACAACTGATCAGTTTAACTGACGTACATTCAAAAACTGACCGTGAATGAAATCTTAAGTTGAAATTTTTAACTGAAGACAACACACGGATTTTTTCGAACGTGCTGTCAGATAAACCGCTCAGTTGAACTGACGTACATCCAAAAACTGATCGTGAATGTGAAATCTTAAGTTGAAATTTTTAACTGACGGCAACCCACGTATTTTTCCGGACGCACCGTATACCGCTGGCTTCAGTTAGTTTCCATTATTGGTAAGTACATACTTTCTTAGTAGCTTTTATTTATATTTTATATATTTTTTATAACATTATTTGTATGCTGTTTAGATTTTATATTATTTTATATATTTAGAGAAGTTGGTTTGACAGAGGATGGAGACCAAGGTGATTGTAATGATGTCACCTTCCTTATGGTGGACTTAGAAGGTGGGTAAAGGGTCTCAGTGATGCTACTTCGTAGAACCATCGTGTTTGAACTCATTTTCAAATAGGTAAATGGATACCTAGATGACTGTTATGATATCACCTTTATGTTGGTGCAACCCGAAGGTGAGTATAGGATCTCAGTGATGACACTAGAAAGAAGGATCGTATTTGAACTCATTTGAAAGGGCTCATAAAGACCTAGGTGACTGTTATGATCTCACCTTTCTGATGGTGCAATCTGAAGGTGGGTATAGGATCTCAGTGGCGGCACCAGATAGAACGATCGTATATGAACTCATTTGAAAGGGCTCATAAAGACCTAGGTGACTGTTATGACCCCACCTTACTGATGGTGCAATCCGAAGGTGGACGGCACTAAGTAGAATGATCGTGTTTGAACTCATTTGAAAGGGTTTATAAAGACCTAGTTCAATGTGATTATAATACCTTCATGATGGTGAACTAAGAAAGTGGGGTAAAAGATAAAAATAAATAATACATTTATTAAATAAATAAAATTTACCATAATGAATAAAATTCTCATAATATTACCTAGTCAGGTCATAAGTATCGTCACACAGTAAAAACTTTTCTTTTAGAATGCTGGCCACAAAAAAGTTTATTGAATTCGAATTTCGAATTGTTCATCAAAATAAAACTGTATACTTTCTAGAATTTTACTCATTTTTAAATATGGAGTGGACGCTTAAAGAAGACCGTGTTGCAGTTATTGCGTTGCATCGTTGCGGTTACGCGCCAATTCAAATTTTTGACATACTGAAAAATTTGAATATAACCAAAAGATTCGTTTATCGTACCATCAAACGATACAATGAAGACTCTAGTGTAGATGACAGGTCAAGAAGTGGTCGCTTTCGGTCTGTTAGGACTCCAGCAGTGATAAAAGCTGTGAAGGCGCGAGTTCAAAGAAATCCCAAACTTATGCAGAAACTGTTGGCCCTTCAGATGGGGTTAAGCAGAACCACGGTGAAAAAGGTGTTAAATGAAGACTTAGGGCTTCGGGCATATCAAAGAAAAACAGGACATCGTTCGAATGCTCGTCTAATGGACCTGAGACTGAAGAGATGCCGCGCTTTGTTGAAGCGGTATGCGGGAAAAAAATATCGGGAAATTCTTTTTTCGGATGATAATATTTTTACCGTAGAAGAGAGCTACAACAAACAAAATGATAAGGTGTACGCACACAGTAGTGAAGAAGCAAGCAACCGTATTCCGCGTGTCCAACGAGGTTATTTTCCATCCTCGCTCATGGTATGGTTGGGAGTTTCTTATTGGAGCTTAACAGAGGTACATTTTTGTGAGAAAGGTGTAAAAACGAATGCAGTTGTGTATCAAAATACAGTCCTGACGAACCTTGTGGAACCTGTTTCTCATACCATGTTCAATAACAGGCACTGGGTATTCCAACAAGATTCGGCGCCAGCTCATAGAGCGAAGAGCACACAAGACTGGCTGGCGGCGCGTGAAATCGACTTCATCCGGCACGAAGACTGGCCCTCCTCCAGTCCAGATTTGAATCCGTTAGATTACAAAATATGGCAACACTTGGAGAAAAAGGCGTGCTCAAAGCCTCATCCCAAATAGGAGTCACTCAAGACATCCTTGATTAAGGCAGCCGCCGATATTGACATGGACCTCGTTCGTGCTGCGATAGACGACTGGCCGCGCAGATTGAAGGCCTGTATTCTAAATCACGGAGGTCATTTTGAATAAACTTTAGTGTCATAAGAATCTATGTTTTGTTAAGTTCATTTTGGTATATAAATGGTTACATAATGAATAAACTTGTGTCAATTATTTTATACTAAACAACATGTGACAGAATTTATGACCTGACTAGGTATATATATATACATACAGAACGGATTTCATTTCTCGATCGACGAAGCCGCTGCCGTGCGCGTTTAGTTGGTGTGACTCCAATAAATTAAAAATATCATTTCCTATCTATTAACTAGCTGTTCCCCGCAACTTCGCCCGCGTGTATTTATTACGATTGTATTTCATGGGTTTTAATGTTTTTACGCGGAACCCTAATTCTTTTTCTAAATTAAAAGTAGCCTAAGTTCCTCCTTATAATATCAGCTATCTGCCACTGAAAGTCTCGTCAAAATTGGTTCAGCCGATCAGGAGATTAGCCGGTACAAACAGACAGAAAGACAGACAAAAATTTTAAAATTGTGTTTTTGTTATAAGTACCGTATGTACTTTCATATGTATTTAGTAAAAAACTGTTATTTTGACATTACAAACAGACACTTCAATTTTGTTTATTTTTATAGATATATATTAATAGACAGGAAATGATATTAAATAAGATTTAGATATTATTAAATATTATTTAATTTATCTATATATATGATATTTTATAGGAGTCACGCAAACCAAACGCCAACGGCCACGCCCCTCGTTTGAACTAGGACTGTTTATGACTGTTTTTTGTTATTTACTTTTATCTTTGATGTTTTTATGTATTATTTTATTTTCTGTATCAAAACTGTATGAGTGTATGTTGCTGAATAAATGCATGTCTATGTTTCTCAAAAACTATTGCAACATTCTAATCTCTACTGTAGTTTGAATTGCGGGACTTTACTTTACCAGTTTCACTATCAATTATACTCCATGTCATTTTATTTTAGAAAGCGTCCTGAATATTCTTGAATATTTTTTATATATTCCTTAAATTCGACGCTAGAATTATATGACCTTTCATGGTAAAATTCATATAATCTTTGTCTGCTCTTGTGGACTCCTACTGTTGCCCATTAATTAAATGTCTTGCGATTGAAGCACTGGTATTTGGCTATATAAATAGGGGAGAGGGTAGTAACTGCTCAAACGGACTCATACGCAGAAAATGAGCCATACGAGGGGCACACTGAAATGATAGGGAATAGAATATTTTGGATTTAGTTACAATAAAACCTTTAGATAGAATTTGAATACTGGCCTCTTAGAATCTTTCTGACATTCAAACAATTAAAAAAATGTTTAAAAATAAAAACTCTGTTGGTTAAAATTGACACGTCGTTAACAGAAATGGAGTTAACGCGTGAACATTTCCGTGCCATAATTTATTACAATTTTCGTCGCGGCTTATCTCAAGATAAATGTCTCAGCGAACTTCTTTCGATTTATGATGTTGAAGCAACGAGTATACCAATATACCGCTATAAATATAATAGAGGTACCAATATACCGCTGGTATGCCGAGTTCCGACGCGGTCGTGTGTTGCTCAGCACTGTTTCTTCTGCAGGTCGACCAAGAGCAGCGGTCACGCCTGAAAACATCGCAGCTGTGCGAACTATTATATTAGATGACCGTCATGTGACATACGAGCAGATTCGGGCTGTTATCAGTATCGGAATGACTACAATTCAGTTGATATTACATAGTGAGTTGTGTGTAAGAAAGCTAGTTTCCCGCTGGGTTCCCCACAATTTGTTCGAAGAGCAAAAGGCGGCTCGTGTATATTGGTGCCGGAATACTCTGCAACGCTTCAGCGGAGGGAAGTCAAATGCCGTTTATAATATCGTCTCAGGTGACGAATAATGGATTTATTCATACAAACCTGAAAGAAAACATCAGTCAGCAGTTTGGGTCTTCGAAGACGAGGTCAAACCAACGAAAGTGGTTCGCTCCCGCAGCGTGTCAAAGAAAATGGTCGCTACGTTTGTCTCGAAAAAGGGGCATGTTGCCACAATTCCTTTACAGGAACGCAGAACGGTTACTGCTGAGTGATATATCACGGTTTGTTTGCCAGAAATGATAGCCGAACTCCGAAAAAATAACCTGAAACGTCGCGTCATCTTACATCACGATAATGTGAGCTCCCATACGGCTTGGAAGACAAATGATTTTTTGAAGCAAGAAAACGTTGAGTTGATGCGCCATCCTCCGTACAGTCCAGACCTAAACCTAAACGATTTCTTTACATTCCCTATAATGAAAGATTTATTACGCGGTCAACGGTTTGAAGATCCCGAAGCAGCTGTGGAAGCGTCATCATTCATCATTACAGCCCTTCACAAGTCCACTGCTGAACATAGGCCTCCCCCAAAAAATGCCACAAAACACGGTCCTGAGCCACCTGCATCCATCGACTTCCTGCATGTCTTACCAGGTCGTCACTCCATCTCGTGGGGGGACGCCCTACACTTCGCCTACCGGTACGAGGCTGCCACTCGAGAACCTTTCTTCCCCATCGGTTGTCGGTTCTTCGAGCTATATGGCCGGCCCACTGCCACTTCAGCTTACTAATCTGTTGGGCTATGTCGGTCACTCTGGTTCTACTGCGGATATCCTCATTCCTAAGTTTATCACGCAGAGAAACTCCGAGCATAGCCCTCTCCATAGCTCGCTGAGCGACCTTGAGCTTCCTCATACGGCCAGCAGTGAAGGACCACGTCTCAGTTCCGTAAGTCATC